GCCGTTTTAGGTAGGCGTGGCTGACTCTTAACTTTTATAAAGAATATCTCTTTGGATTTGAGACTTTAGTCTTTGCAACTTTACAGATCTTCTTTATGCACCAAGAGCTTGTAACACTCCAAAGAGAAAGGAACAATTGAAATAGCATCATATGACCCCTTTAATCTTCTTTACTGTGATGTATGTAATAGAACTTGACTGACTCAACAGATAATCACATAAATGCATTCATCTGTTCATAGTCATGACAAGGACAAATGCTCTTCAAATGAGACTGAAGAACCTCCTGTAATAATGTTTTTTCCTCTCTGTTCTTTGTGTCATTAGTGTACGATCAGGCTCACATGTGTCCAGCTCTGTGTCTGTGAAAAGTGACTGTTCAAAACATAATCCACCAAACTTCAGTGAGAAACAACCATCATCTACCAAAAGGTATTTAATGTTTCTCAGTGTTGGTCATACATGTAGGTATAGTTAGCTTGTATTGGTAGTTTATATTGTAGCAATACAAACACTAGATCGTACAGAAGCCCTAAAATAAAACATGAACAATGCCATATGTAACCTGATTTTCTCTTAATTGTGATGTTCAAATCCTTCTTGTACATGCATTATTGTAGCAAATTAGCTCAAAAGGGAAATGTATATAAACTAGGGATGCGCCGATCCGATATTCATATTGGGTATCGGCTCAAATAGTGCCATTTTTCTCGGATCGGGTATTTTCCCGATTGTGTGAATTATTCTGTGTTACTTCTGAAGCCATAGGATAGCTTAATGTGAGCTACATATGAATATTTAAGTCCTTACATTAAAGTTCACACAAATTCTTTTCTCCGCGGTGGCTGTCAGTCATTCGTTCAGCCTAATAAAGCTTGCGTCCCAGCAAGCCGACCCTGTCTTCTTCCTTCCCGGGTTTCGGCTCCACTGTAACAAATGTTCAAGAGGGTAGAAGGAAGAAGACAGGGTCGGCTTGCTGGGACGCGAGCTTTATTTAGATTCCTTCCCGCACAGTACACACCACGGCGCTCACTCAGCGCGCAAATTAGCTCAAAAGGGAAATGTATATAAACTAGGGATGCGCCGATCCGATATTCATATTGGGTATCGGCTCAAATAGTGCCATTTTTCTCGGATCGGGTATTTTCCCGATTGTGTGAATTATTCTGTGTTACTTCTGAAGCCATAGGATAGCTTAATGTGAGCTACATATGAATATTTAAGTCCTTACATTAAAGTTCACACAAATTCTTTTCTCCGCGGTGGCTGTCAGTCATTCGTTCAGCCTTTAAACCTTGCTCGCGTTCGGTTACAGCAGTCAGCTCGGTAAAGCTCTCTCCGAGATAATTCTGTGTTCCCATTCTACTGGATTTGTAAATACATGTCTATGATTTTGAAAAAAGGACTTCATCTTCTTGCCGGAGTTTAATGTTGTTTTGTTACTTGCTACCGGGTGTCTGTGAGAACAAAACACGGGCGTAGAAAAGACTATAAATAGTTTTTAACGTGCACAGTAAC